AGAATTGGGCTTTGTCACTGCTCTTACACCACGTTTGGAGGGAATGAAATTTCTAACTAAAACCCCAGTAGGCCAAAAGTTTGGATTTAGAATCTCGGTTGAATATTTTTCTGGCAAACCAATTTTGAAAGATTTGTAGGTCTTGAATTTAAATTTGGTGCTTAGTTCTTCACAGTCAATTTGTGTCAGGCCTAGTCCTATGCCTTTTCCTATTAGGTAGTTTTGTACTTGTTCACTAGAAACGTCAGGTGATATTCTCGAAACAAAGAACAATGCTTGTTTGCAGGCCGATTTGAGATTTGTCGTCACTCTGTTTGTTCCGATGATAACATCATTTTTCTTCTGCTGAACAACCTGTGAATAGTTTTTCTTGTTTTCTTAATCAAGATCCCCTACATCTCTAGGAGTAGATGTATAGTCAATGTAACAACTCGTTAAAAGGCGGTGGCACGTTATATGGATATAATTGTATGATTTTTTTAACTTACACGTTGTCGTTCCGCCTCAGTTTCCTCGTCTTCGTCTTCGTCTTGGTCGTGGTCGGGAGCTGGTGGTTCTTGAACCTCGTCTACAGCCTCTGGGAGCGGGTCTTGGTCCAGAGGAACAAGATTGTCGTCGCTGTCATCTTCAGCATCACTTTCTCTCACTTCTCTCGGCTGATTCGTCGAGCACTTGTAGGCCATCGCTGACAGAAATTGGTACGTGGTCATCGAAGGAGGGTCAGATGAGACTTGAGTGTGCGCTTCTTTGATTTTTTTTGTCTTGGAGCAGCCATTTTGTCTTCCTGTTCCTTCGGATTGTTTGATTTCCTTCCAGCCTCAACACATCAGCAACTGCCTGTTTCCCTAGATTCACAAGGCAGCCTGGAAATATTGATTGGGTTTATTAATTGAGTAGGCTCGATTACAAAGCAATTAACACACTGAATAAACTAAACAAAACTTCACAAGTGATGGAAAGAAAATTGAGTGGTCAATAAGAACTGGAGACGTATATTTATTTCTAGCCAATACTATAACAGCCATTTAAATGGAACTTTCATAACTGAAACTCGCAGTCATCAAGGTATATTTATAACCAGATATTCATAAATTGCACCTTGCGGTCAAATCACACCCTTTCGTCTACCAATATTTTAATTACGTGTCAATTAATACAAAATATAAATAATTGTGTTTACTGTAAATAAACGGATTTACAGTCAACGGTAAAATTAAAAGATAAAACGTGTACAAAAATTAAATTGTGATTACATTCAATCAACGCTCCAGGAAAATATAGAAAACGATTTAATTATGTCAACAGTGATCTTATGGAGATTAAAATACAAACAACAATATCTAAAGGTTGCTAGGGGGAAAATCCGCCATCTTTGTGTAAAAAAATACTTCTTAAACCTTTTAAAAATGGCTGATATGTGTAAATATTGGATGCAAAATTTAATTAAAACGTGTATATAACAAAAAACACAAAATACTTAAAATGTATTACATTATTTGTCCCTGATACGATTTGTTGGTTCAGTGAACGGGATTCGTTGAATTTTGCTGCTCTAAAATTAATATATGCTCTATATTTTTAATACCCGACATGTTAAAAATGTTAAAGAAAATTAATTTCCATTTCACAGAAAGTTCATTCAATCAGATGAGCATTATTGCAAAATTTAAACTATGTAACTGAAACCCGCAAGTGAGTCAATGTTTATAAACATACAGACAGACGCCAAACGAAGTTAGATAAGACATTACACTACTGTACTGTAGTTTCAAACACATCATAACAAAGGTTTAGAGGATTCCAAGCAAGGAATTACTCCTACCATCATGGGTTGTCAAGGTTGCTGAGGTTGGGTGGAGAGGCTTTGACTCACATTGACTTCTTCGGGATTTCTTCTTCCTCATTCAAGAGGGACGCCTCAAGATATTTACAATAGAGAACATCTTAAAAGCATTTTCCTGCCTTCCTGTGGGAACAAGTGATGTGTAGTTCTTGTTTAAGTGGTGCCTTTAAAGGGCCACACCTTAGTTCTGTTTTGAGGCTGGTGTTACCTCAGCGAGGTGCAGTGTAATCTAGGTGGTGCCTTTAAAGGGCCACAAATGAAAGTTGGTGCTTTTTAGTTGTGTATGGTGTTTGACACAGTGTTCTTCCCATGTCATGCATGCACACACACACACACACACTCCCACAAATTATACTTTTGTTAATACTTCTGTAATATTTTGCTGTCTTTTGTTATTATTTTCACAGTTTATAATTTGTTATCTTTGTTGCCATAGTCTATTTTGTTGGTCTTATTTAATCGTTGTTGTTATTGCCTGTTGTAAAGTTACCGTCATTACTGCTTGTTACTTGTTACCATTATTACTAGGCATAGTCTTCTTGTTGTTATTTATTGTAGTTTTTAGGTCCCACTCATGTATTTATTGCCAGCTTCCTTATTTACTATTATTGCACGATTTTTGTAACCACTGATATTAACTTATTATTTGCTCATAGTTTGACATAATTGTATTAATGGAGAAACCGTTGGAATAAATAAATAAATAAATAAACATCTTTGCTTATTTTGGAACAAAGAATGACTAAGTAATTTGTTTACCACCTTTTTTGAACCCCCTGAATTATAAAATGTGTTGTAGGATTTTGTCAATATAGTATAACAGAAATGAGTAAGTGTAAAAATGATAAGGTTCAGAAAAAATATGAATGACATTTAGGTACATTAGTGGTCACAGTCCTCGTAACGAAACTCCTAAACAAAAGTTAACTTTGAGTCTTTTAATCAAGTAAAGAACAACCTTAATTGCTTTGACAATGAGTAATGTAATATTAGAAAAAAGACAACAAAAGTCTTCGCACTAGTTGTTTACTGGTAACATACCTTGCAGAGTCCAAATGTTTGGATGTGCTGATCCTCCAAGAAGGTTGTTTAACATATAGTGAAAGCTCTCTTGGCAGTTGTTGGTTCGGTTCAGTTGTTGGAAAACCAAGAAAGATATGCTGCCCACTTTGTTGATCCAGTAGTTTTTCATATACCTAAGAAACATTACAAATACTATATTATTATATTTTCACTTTAAACTAAGACCACGCACTCAGGTATAACATTTTTCTATGTGGTAAGCGTCTTCGTTTATATTTTGAGATTACATTTGTTAGATGTATTGCACTTCTAGCAAAAGTTCTGATATATGAATACTTGCTGAAATCATAAGTCGTGAAAACGGTTAGTTACAAATTGAAGAGAGAAAAAAATAGTTAGTCTAATTAAATTAAAAAACTATACCGCAATGATTATTTGTGACTTGATTATTTAGTTTATAAACAAAAAAAAATATGACTTTCTGAAATTATTTACAATTATTTTATTTTGACCCTTAGGAACATTTATTTAATAATCCAAATTAATACCGATTTTGCTAAACGGTTGGATGATATTTACCTAAACAACTTGGCGACTTTCTCCTTATTACTTTGGCTTATGTCTTGTGTGTCTTGGAGCTGAAAGTATGTTTCTATGCTTGTAAGTCCTTCTTCTATTTTTTCATGAGGGAGAAGAGCCAATGCTATGAGCATTTGAGTAGATTTGTTCACTACAGTGTTGTTTTTAAACAGAGTAGCAAGTCCAAGAGTTTGTACTTTCCTGTATATGCACTGAAACATAATCGTGCACTGAAACATAAAGCGTTGACCTATGATGTGATTGTGGCTCCGTCTTGTGTATTTTCAAAGTTTGAAGGAGATTAAAAGTTAAATTTTATGATCAGGTTTTATGTTATTAGATAATAGTGTATAAAAAGTGTTACAGTAAAAACAAACTAAGCAATAATGCATTCAAGTTGTTCATGGTTTAAGGAAAATAAAACAATATATAGCCCGAGGCGAAGTAAAATGGCGAAGCCAGATTTTTGGATAATCTCTTCACAATTATAGTTCCTTGGTACAATCACTATATTCTGTACAGGTTTGAAAATCCAACATACGTCACTGTAGAAGGCATCCTCTACTACTTCAATTTTCATAATACCAATTACAGTAGGTTTATCGAGTGGGTGGGGGGTACAATTCCAGCCCGTACACAAGCCAAGCTAGCTGTCCAAGAGGGGGGTACAATTCCGGGGGGTAAAATTCCACCCCGTACACATTTGGCTTTCTGATGGGGGGTACAATTCCACCCCGTACGTAAATATTTTGATCTTGGCAGGGGGTACAATTCAGGGGGGTACAATTCCAGGGGGGTACAATTCCGGGCCGTACATCTCCTGCTATTTTTAATATCTAATATAATTATCCGGTTCACTGATCACTTGCCCACATTAAATAGATTAGAATTCGTTAAAATCAAAGTGTACGGGGTGGAATTGTACCCCCTCTAGGCGTGACGTCAAAATGACGTCAACAATCGCCGGGGGGTACAATTCCGGCGACCCGGCCAGGATCCTGAACAGCACCACACGCACACAAGATTTTTTCTTCGTCTGGTAAGATACCCCATTTCTGCATGTTTGTCTTGCATTTTGGTACCTTGACCCTGATTCGATTTAGGGTCTTCCACACCATGCAATGCAGGCCTCCACTGGGAGCCAGTTCCTCCCTGGCTGGTATGGGAGGGTTAGTCAATGTGGCCTCCCACCTTGCCACCCGATTGCTTGAGATTGACCAGAGTTATCAGTCGGATGCCGAGCAGGACGGTTGTGTTTTTGGAGTGCTTGTCTTATCATTGCCCTTATCTATCTACAGGTTTTCCTGTCATGGTTTGTAGATGAGCTTTTCAAATCCCTCAAATTACATGTGTACCGCAGATAAAGTATAAAAAATATAAATATAAAGACATACGAGTTTCTTTTGAGAGAGTTTCAATATCTTGTCAGTATAATTTTGAGACATACAGTATAAATATGGCTGATTGTTCTAAATGCTTAAAATCCCTTAAAATTGTGAAAGTTAAAGTAAGTTGTGCTGATTGTGAGCAGAGTTTCCACGCAAGATGTGTCAATATGTCCACGGATGAAGTGTCGTACCTATCGGAACAAGAAAGTGTTTGGAGATGTGAACCGTGTTCGAAGGCTCGCCGCAAGAGTATGGCTGTTGAAACTACAAGTTCTATGACTTATGACGATGTACTTAATTTGGTTTCCGAGCTCAGGAACGACTTCAAACGAGTTGAAACAAGTTTAGGACGTTCCCTAGATAGTTGCCACGAAGAAATATCAGCCACAAAGGCAATAGTCCAGAAGCAAAGTGAAGAATTGTCAGAGTGGATGAAAAGGGTAGAAGATCTCAAAACAGAAAACATGGCACTTCGCAATAAGGTTTGTAGTCTGGAATCGAGGATGGTTGAGATGGAGCAGTATTCACGCAGTAACACAATAGAAATTCATGGAGTCCCAGTGGAAAAGGGGGAGAATGTGGTCGCCTTAGTCAAGACAGTAGGACGTGCCCTTGATTACCCTGTGGAGGACAACATGATAGACGCCTGTCATCGTCTCCGTACTAGAGAAGGCTCTGGAAAACCTCCGGGAATTATTGTTAAAATGGTGAGAAGACTAGATGCTGAGGGATTGCTACAGAAGAGAAGAGTGAAGAGGAATATGAATACTCATGACCTGGGACTGACTGCTAAGGCTGCTGAGGTGGTATATGTAAACGAAAGTCTTGCTCCGGAACGACGCAGAATCCTTAACGCCGCTCGACTGCTAAAAAGAGAAAAGGGCTACACATACCTCTGGATACGGGGAGGCAAGATTTTCTTGCGGAAAAGTGACGGTGACCGAGTGATTGTTCTAGACTCAATGGATGACCTTGATAAGTGCAAATAGGTAGTTGAACTATAAGGAAACTCTAATACATAGCAAGGTAAATCTTATATTTTTGTGTGTTTGCCTAAAACATTTATCATTCAACTATGGTATTTTCTAATTTTAGAAGAAATACATATAATCAAAACAACATAATTAGGGAATTCAAGTGCAATTAATCTAATAATTTTAGAGATAGTACATTTATTTCTACTTGATAACTTCTTTTTTATTAAAATGCTCTGGAATAGGATGTGTTATCAAATCAATGATTATCAGTTGGATAACTAAGCTGAGCTTGACCTACATTCCACATATTCATTCTTTATCATTTGTTTGACCTTCCATTAACGATTGCAGGTGAACTGACTAAATAATTTAATATTGATAGGTAAAAATATGATAACAATATTTTGCAGGCTTGTTGTCTTCTAATACATATTTATAAATAAAGATTTTTTCCAATACATAAAATGATGAGCTATAAAGTGCATAATCTGCGCAAAAAATATAAAACATTGTACAATGTATAATTGCTATTGCTACTATAGTACTAACATAACGAACCATAACCTGTGTAAGCTTTGTTTTTCTTTAGGTTGTTTCTTTCAATGTCTTATTTGACATTTATTTAATGCTATATTTGTGTTTTCTTAATCATGACAGGTAAAACTAAGGTATATTCTGATGTGGAATGTTATAATTTGGATATTTATCAACTAAATAAACTCGTAATATTTCATAAAAATATTAGGAGCATAAAGAAAAATTTTGACGATTTAATAGTGTTTTTAAGTCTCATGCGAGTTAAGCCAGACATTATAGTTTTGACGGAGACGTGGCTGCGGGATGGGGAGCCAGCTGATATGTTTAAGATAGAAGGCTACCAGGCGGTTTCAGCGTCGAGCCCTACACGTTGCGGAGGTATTGTTGTGTTTTATCGTGTTGATAAGCTATCAACGTGTCGTATCAATGATTCAACTGTCCATGGGGCAGATTCCCTATTCCTTGACCTCAAATTGCTTAATGCTTACTCTCTCACAATTTTTGCCGTGTATAGGTGGCATGGAGTTGCGTTCGCACAATTCCTTGCAAGCTTTGAACAGCAAATTTCCAGGTTTAAAAACAAGTTTGCTGTATGTGTGGGTGATTTTAATATAAATACTAAAATCAATAATAATGAAGTTGATACCTATTTTGAGGTTATTAGTCGGGTAGGCTTTGACAACTTGATTGATGCCGATACTCGAGTAACCGATCTCAGCTCAACTTGCATTGATCATATTTTGTATAGAAATAACAAATCATTAAAACTCCAATCGTTTGTTATTGACTCTAATATAACTGATCATCGTAGTGTGGGAGTCGCTATTGATATTGATTTAGGTACTACTAAAAATTGTGTTAAGCCAGATAAGTTTATCATTGATTACGATATCTTACAAGATACATTAAATAGTGAGACATGGGATCTTGTATATTCTGCCACCGGTGTAAATGAAGCTTTTGATATATTTATAGATACCCTTATATGTAGCATAAGCAAGTCAAAAAGGAAATTAGAAAAATCTGAAAGTCACAAGATCAAAAAACTTAAACCATGGATAACTATTGGACTGTGTCGTGCTATTAGCAATCGAAATAAGATGTGGAGGAGAGTTAGACAACAACCTGACAATTTGGTTATTAAAAATAGATATATTACGTTTAAGAACAATATTGCTAAATGGATTAAAGATGCAAAATACAACTACTATAATTCTCTATTTGAAACAAATAAAAATAATAGCAAAGTGCAATGTGATATTATAAACGAACTTAGTGGTCAAAAGAAAAAGGGGCCCGATGAAGTAAAATTAATTATTAATAACACAGAAGTATCGGACCCAAAGGAAGTCGCTGAAGAATTTAATAAGTTTTTTTCTGACGTCCCCATGGTATCGTCTTATTCCTCACAAAATGTTCCAATTGATAATGTCGAAATTTATAACAACCTTTTCAAAAGTAAACCCATCGGAAATTCTATATTTTTATCTCCTGTAGCTGAAAAAGAAATTAATAATTTAATATCAAACTTGACGTCAGGAAAATCCCCTGGAAGTGATGATATCAGTTCCCTTATGGTAAAAACAGTTTCAACTCAAATTACACCAATATTAACCTATATCTTCAACAAATCTTTCCTTGAGGGTGTATTTCCAAAACAAATGAAACTTGCGAAAGTTGTACCAATTTTTAAGAAGGGTTCGTCTCTTTGTTTATCTAATTACAGACCCATATCTTTGCTTTCTGTTTTTTCTAAGCTACTTGAAAAAGTTATGAAGTGTAGACTTATTAGTTTCTTAAATGCTGTAAAATTCTTCTCTGAGGCTCAGTATGGGTTTCGAGAGGGACTAAGTACTGAAGATGCACTGCATAAATTTATTTCCCAGCTTTACAATGAAATAAATAATAAGAGGTTGGTTACAGGATTATTTCTTGATGTGCGTAAAGCGTTTGACACCGTTAATCATAAATATTTGTTGGGAAAATTAGAGAAGTCGGGCATTCGTGGAGTATCACTTAGCTGGTTCTCATCATATCTTTGTGAACGTGAGCAATATGTTTCTTTAGGTTCTGTAAAAAGTTCTGTCCAACAAATAAAGTGTGGAGTCCCTCAAGGCTCCGTTCTTGGACCGATATTGTTTTTGGTCTATGTAAATGACCTGTAGGTCCTTTGATAGGTAATATTACGGCTTTTGCTGATGATACAGCGATATCTTATTCGGCATGTTCTATAGAAGTTCTTAAATCGAACATAGAACATGATATGAGATTGTTATCGCTTTGGCTCTCATGTAACAGCTTATCGCTAAATGTTGATAAGTCTCATATAGTTAATTACTCCTTCCACAAACGTTTCCCTTTTAACAGTGAAATAAAGTTTCATAACTACAATTGTGCAGATGATTATCATTGTGACTGTCCATGTTTTAGACAGAGTAATTGTGTTAAGTATTTAGGGTTGTTGGTTGATGACCAACTTAATTGGAAAGATCATATATTTTCCCTAAAGAGATATTTTTTCATGTTTTTGAGAAAGTTTTATTTCTTAAGACCACTATGCCCTGATAGAGTGCTGATCCAAATATACCACGCTTTTGTACATTCTAAGTTCAGTTATGGAATTGTTTTTTGGTATAGTACATACGTTAGTTATATTAAGCCTTTAATTATACTCCAGAAAACTTACATTCGGATAATATGCAAGGAAAAAATTAGAACAGAATCTATGCCGTTATTCTCCAAATTAAATATATTACCGTTAAGATATCTTTACGTATTTAAGGTCTTACTTTTATTTTACAAAGTAAGTGGAAATGTTGGTGCTGTTATCGATGATGACCCTGAGCGACGCATAACTAGATATGCTCATAATGTAAAACTTCCAAAACCTAATACTTCTTTTTTCCAAAAGACCTTCGCTTACCTGGGTCCTAAATTTCTTAATATTATTCCTAAAAGTATTTTAAATATAAATTCAGACCATTCCTTAAAGAAATCATTAAAAACATACTTATTGAGTATGTCGACAGACAATTTCCATCAACTATTTTTGATAATGCAATAATGAATTTTCCAATCTTTCTCAATGTAAATAAAATGCGATAAATCAAGTTATCGATAAAAATTTCAGTAATTTATCGAGGATAATTTGGAACATCACTTAACAACAAGGGATTTTGTGGTTATATATTAAAAATTATGTTTAGTCTGTAGCAGGGGCTTCTTATTTTAGAATACTATTTATAAACATCTGTTCAATAAGATTTTTTGTTAAATCTCAAAACATTTGTTAATCTTTATGTCATATTTTTCTATAAACAGGAATTGTATATAAATTTGTCAAGATGGGCCATTTATATTGTCATTTCATGTTAGCTAATACTATATTTTAATCACTTTGTATTCAGACTTGTAACTCCTACGTGCGAGCAGGAAATTCTTTCCTAGCACGTTAGTATTTTATTTCCATATAGATTAAGTTGTAGGTAAGATTTAATTTTTCATTGTGTTTTAGTGTGCATTTTAGTATGTGTCTAAGTATCTTTCTTACCATCAAAAGGACAGTTTGTATTTTTAAGATACCTAATAAGAAATTGCTTTATATTTCAATCAAATTTGTAAAAATTTGGAAATAAAAAATACTTTGACTTTGACTTTGATCCATCCAAGACATGTGTCCGTGATAAAAAGCCATTTCTGGACCGAAGCCGACGCTCTGCAGGTTGGTGGCTGTGTAATGGGTGACGAGGGTATGTCTCTTGCTTAGTCCTTTCTGCGTCGGCAGCGTCATCACGTCGGATTGATGGAGGGGCGATCCCTATGATAGGATATAGTACTGGGATTGGTTTCAAACACCCAGTTACAATCCTAGTCATGTCATTGACTGCAATGTCAACCTTTTTTGCATATGACGATGCATTCCATACTGGTGCAGCGTACTCCGCAGCCGACATTGAGCGCTAAAGCTGAGGTTCTGAGGACATTAGGGTTAGCACCCCAGCATTTGCTGGTCAGCTTCCTGATCAAATTTTTCCTCGCTGAGACTTTACACCTTGTCGCAATACAATGCGCCTTAAATGGCAGTGTGCGGTCTAGTATGACACCAAGATATTTGGGTGTAGGACAATGCTGAAGACTGTCTCCCCTCCACCTCACAATCAACTCACGGCCTGCTTCTCTATTGTTTAGGTGAAAGGCACAAACTTGGGTCTTAGCAGGGTTCGGCTTGAGGTGATTTGCGTCATAGTACTGGGAAAGTTCATTTAGAGTCGTAGTCAACTTCTGTTCCACATCTTCAAAACTCCTAACTTGTGCCGCCACTGCCGTATCATCGACATATATATACTCACGTGTAGCGTTTGGCAACGGTTGGTCGTTAGCGTATATAAAGACCTAGGACTAAGACGCTTCCCTGAGGCAATCCATTTCTTTGATTCCTCCATCTACTTTTCTTGCCTAGAAGGGACACGAAAAAC